TTCTCTTCATCCAAGATTCCACACAGTATAAACTACACTTAACCATGTTACATAGAAACCTAGAGGCCCTGTAAAACTGATCCAGTAACCTTCATATACCAGTTACAACTCTCACACTCATTGGTGAATACCAAGAGATCCTCATCAAATCACAAGTGTGTTATATCAAGAGCTTTACATTCCAAATGATAATGAATCTGATTATCCTGCACTGCCTAAGCTAGCAAACATGAAAAATGCTTCCATAGCAACATTTAAAAGGCATGGGGACAAGGGGTCACCTTGCCTAAGACCCTTACGGGCTGGAAAATAACCACACATCCCTCCTTTGAAAGATTCACTCAATATCGAGTCATCACACATACTTCAACTAACTCCAGGAAGCTCTCTGGGAAATTTATTGTCTTAAAAACTTTAAAAGCTCCAATTGATAGAGTCAAAAGCTTTCTTGAGATCAATTTTCAACACACGTCTAGGGGTAATTGTGCTCTTATGGTAATCAATTACTAGTCCAGTAGCCATAAGAATATTGTGACTAATACTACAACCTTTAATAAAAGCAGAATGAGCTTTTACTATTACTTTATGTAGGACTTTCGAGAGCCTATTAGAAAGGATCTTAGAAATTCCTTTATAAAGCACATTGCAACAGGAAATAGGGCAAAAATCGTTCATCTTATAAACATTGTCCACTTTTGGAATAAGAGAGATGGCTATCGAGTGTACATGTCTAGCCATTCTTCTGGTATCAAAGAATTCCAACACAACATTCTCAGCATCGAATCCAATTATCCCCCAATCTGCTTGAGAGAACTTAGTCGGGAACCCATCTGGGCCTGGAGCTTTGTCCTTTTCCATAGAACTTAGACTAGCCAGATGCCTCTGTATTAACTAATTAAAGAACTCTTGAGGGAAATCATGAACTTCAGCATCACTCTTCCCTAGCAGATCAGAGTAAAACTCAACAACAACCTCACTCATCTTCTTAACATAGTAACTCTCTCCCCATTATCTTTAATAAGCTAATTAATCTTTTGCCTATGTGTAAGAATCTTTACTTATGAATGGATGAATTTTGTATTAGAATCCCCTTTTGCAGCTTTAACTTCGGTTGTTCTTTGTTGTGCTTTAATTTAGACAATTTCTTCTTGAGTTCTAGATCTCTTGCAAGCGAGTTCTCCAACATCCTCAATACATGTGGTGCTGTTCAGCAGTCTGCTTCTTCGAATTTTCCTTAACATTACCGGTCAGTGATAGTGTAATGGACTTAGCATTGTCCCCTGTCAAAGTGAAAACCTTTTAAAAATTGAACAAATGAAAGAACACTACCTGTGGGGTACAAAGCTCTTGTGCAACAATTAAATGATCACCGTTGCGGCTAGAACCATACAAATTGCATTTACATATCCATGTGGTGGTGGTTGCACCTGATCTTCTGCCATCACTGCTTCAATTTTTTTAATCATCATCGTGTTGGTATTGTCATCGGGGGCTTGATCACTTTTCACTTTAGCTTCATGTTGAAATTTGGTCTCTGATGCTTCGTGAATCTGTTACAAAGAATTCATGAAATCCATATGGAATATTCAAACTAAAAAGAAAAAAGCAGAAATGTGAAGCACAATCGGAATAAAGTCAGTTTCAGGTTTACTTTTTTTTTGGACATATAAGTGGTGATGGTCATAGGTATAGCACTGAGAATGTCTATGTATCAACTTCACTAGTTTCGGATAAGGATGTTGCTTCTTCAAAATTCTCCCACGGGTCTCCTTAGACGAATTGTTGGTTGAAGAGCCTAAAAGGAATCTTTCGGTATGTAAATGGGCGAAAGGGACAGGCGAAGGTGGTCTTGGCCTGGACCTCTAGCACGGTAGAGATTTGGAAACAACTGGACATGCCATCTAGGAAGCATTACAATTCATAACTTGCTAGTCTCTCGAGCATCTAGTCAATGAATGGAAGGGGGAAGTGATCCTTCCTGGTTGCATCATTCAGCCTACAAATTGATGCAGACTCTCCATCCAGTCACAGTATGCATCGGGATCAATTTATTTTGCTAGTTCGGACAACCGTCATCCCGCCCTTCTTGAGCACCACCTGAGTGGGAGTGACCCACTCATTGACAGAAATAAGGAAACGATGCCCACATCTAAAAGCTTGATTATCTCCGCTTTGACCCCCTTCTTCATAAGTGGGTTAATTCTCTACTCTGGTTTCACCAGTGGCCCGACCTCTTCCTCCATCAAGATACGATGGGAGAAGAAAGAGAGTCGATCCCTCTAATGTCTGCGATCTTTTAGGCCAATGCCAGCACATTCTTCTTCAAGAGGGACACTAGTTTGGCCTTCTGCTCGGGGGTGAGTGCGGAGGTGATAATCATTGAAAGTGTGTTGTTTTCCCATATAAATGCATAGTCCAGGTGATTGGGGAGGTGCTTCAGCTCCAACTCTGGTGGTTCCTCTAGGGAAGTGGTGATCCGAGCTAATTTGGAGATGTCCTCCACTAGTAATTAACGCTCATAGATATTCTCTTCCTCCAACTGCAGCTCCACTGATGCTTGTTCCCCTAGCAACAAACAACTTTGAAGGGGATCATCAATCCTCGCACTTGTGCTGGCGAGTGCGGTCTCAAAATCAGAAAACACATCACAATAATGCAAGTCATCATGCTAGTGAGAATGCTTAAGATTATCAAAAATGGAATAAGTAATTTGCTCATTCTTAGTCCACATTATTAAATTGCCATCACTGCCATCTATGAGTGCCTTGGCGGTGGCAAGAAAATGTCTACCTAGAATTAGAGCCACCTGTACATCCTCATTAATGTCAAGAATCACAAAATTGACAGGGTTAAAAAATGCACCCACAGATAAAAAGATCCTCAATAATACTCTTAGGATGCACAATTGATATATTAGCTAACTGGATGCTCATCATAGTTGTACTGGGTTCACCTAGGTATGTCTTTTTAAACAATGTGTAGGGCATGACATTTATGCTAGCACCTAAGTTTGCCAAGGACTTTCCTACATGCAAACTACCAATGATGCAGAGAATAGTAAAACTCCCTAGGTCTTTCCACTTCTCTAGTAGTTTGTTTTGTACGATGGTAGAACACTGCTCATTCAGCATCACTGTCGATAGATCCCCAACCTTCCTCTTGTATATGAGGTCTTTTCTGAACTTAGCATACTTGGGCTTCTTTGACAGTGCCTCGACAAACGGCAGGTTGATGCACTTACTTTAGCTTCACCATAAACTTGACGAATTCATTCTCCATTCTGCATTATGAACATGAGTGGGGAAAGAAAGTTTAGGGACATACTCCTTAACCACTAGTTATGGCCTTGGAGCAAGCACCTCTTCCTCCTTCTCCACTTCCTTTTCAAAGACTAGAATTGCTGGGGTAGGATGCTCTTCTTCTCGTCTGGTAGGAGCAGGAATGTTAGCAGTTTTATTCCCACCTTTTCCTCCTTCTCCACTTCCTCCTTGTGACTATACTTGGGCCCCCAAATTCCAAATCGAGCGCAAATTCACCTAAATCATGTTGAGACCAGAAAATCATACATATAACTACACCTAGGGCTGGCCTATTATGAGTCAAATATGAGCACAATTTTGAAAAACTCAGCAACAAAACACCTAAAAACAAGATATGAAAATGCATTATTGAGGTGTTATGAGCAACTACCAATTCACCCATCCGCAAGAATAGTGACGTGCTTAATGCTAATAATTTAGTACCATACGATATATGAGGGTTCATCAAGTCCGAGTAAAAGGTTGAACAACCTCTCGTGCTTGTGCTTCTCCCGTACTTGTTTAGCTACATCAAGAAGAAACTCCCCCAACTGCAATGCCACTTATTGCCAAATACCCATCCCCTGGTGTCTGTATTGTGGCATTTCATAGGTTCATTTTGAAGAGGAGACAAAGGTGGTCATTAAACATATAAACCGGGCCGATAACGTGATAAGCACTCTGTAGCCATTCTCGAGGAAGTTCTTGGTTTGCTGGCAATTCATAATGGTCCTAACGTACGATTTGTAGGTCGTAATAGCAATAGGGTAGCCCACTTGGTGGCTAGGAATGCCCTTTCGTTGTACCCGACTATGTGTCGTTCTTTTAATTGCCTGTCCTAATTATATACTAGGATGTAATTTATTCTATCTCATTTTTAATAAGATTATCTCTTGTAAAAAAAATCTCAATATTTAAACCCAATTTTTTTTATATATAAAACCCCAACTTATCCTTATGCCCAGAATTAATACTGACCCAATTCACTTGAAATTTATTAAGTATGAATACGAAGGGTATATGCTTTCTGAGATGATCTCATCGATGTTCTATATTGAATTGGTACGGAATTTATATAACAAAAAAAACCCACTAAAATCTTAAAGCTGGAACCAATCAAATTAACTAGAGACTGATAACTTCTCCTCTCCAAGCTAGTAAATAAATAAATAAAAGTAGACGTTTCCTACTTTTAACTTTAAATAAATAAATCGGAAACCAAGCACTACATAATGGAGTGGAGAAATATGGATAGTGTTGAGGGCAATGAGATCATATATGTGGCGATGGGGACACACAAAATGCAAAACCAGCCAGCCAATATTATTACCAACCCACAAAACAAAACATTATGCATCCCCACACCACATAGGCAGAGAGAGTGTGACATTAGCATCTCCAAAATCCACAAATCATCATGATTAACCCTCTTTCCCCCCCACCACCCTCCTACATGCTTAGGTAAGCCAAGCCACTGCCAGCCTTGAGAAAAAAAAAACAACCTGATACTGTTCCTCAATTGGCCCCCTGACCTCTATGTACTGTATACCTGAGAAATTGACCCCTCCCCACTTCCTCCCCAAATTCCCTGTGTATAAAAACCCCATTCACCCTCTCCTCTTCCCTTCGTCCAAATATTCCAATTACCCACCAGAAGAATAGAAGTTAGAGTAACTAACCAATCCACATTTACACAAAAAGATGTTGCCAGGAGAATTGGCAGGAATCCATTTCCTCTCCCAGGGCCAGGAATCCCCAACAACCCATTTCCTCCCCCACGAACCCCCTTGCTTCCCCTCTGCCATCAACAGAAACATGACCATCAGCGACTACTTCATCCCGCCGCCGCCCGGCCCCAACAGCTACAACTCCTCCAGCTGCTTGGGCGGCGGCTCCTCCTCCACTTCCGACGAGGCCGACGAGCAGCAGACGAGGATCGTGGACGAGCGGAAGCAGAGGCGGATGATCTCCAACAGGGAGTCGGCCCGCCGCTCCAGGATGCGCAAGCAGAGGCACCTCGACGAGCTCTGGTCCCAGGTCCTCCGCCTCCGCACCGACAACCACAGCCTGCTCGACAAGCTCAACCACGTCACCGACTGCCACGACCGCGCCCTCGAGGAGATCGACCACCTCAAGCAGGAAGCTTCCGCACTCCGACAGATGCTCACCGACCTGCCCATCGGGAGCCCATATAACAATAGTCCCTCTTCCGACCAATCCATCATCCCCACTTCTGTAGACCTGCTTCTTTAATTGCGACAACTGTTTTGTTTTATGAGCAAGCTAAGCGCCCCCGTTTGTTGAGGAGACATGTTGGTTTAGTACTTGATATATATATATAGCAAAACTCTGTACGATCCACTCCATATAAAATCAAACGAGTAATTTGTCAAAACAGGTATACAATCTAGCTGGGTTTGTTTTTACTTTAAGATGGTATAAGTAACAGTAGTTAGTGAAACCCATAAACAGAAGGATCGATCTAACAAAACTTGAAAACCTCCCCTGCCATCAAGCTAAGTAAGAATTACAGAATGGAGGATACAAAGAACAACATGCTGCCTAATCATAATTTATGACTGAAGGGTCAATGTAAAGAAAGGTGCATTGTTTTCTGGGTGGTTCCATTTCAATATTTTAATGCCTTCAACTTGTCATATATAGTGGTTCACAGAACTTATCGCCGCATATTTGGCTAATCCATAGTAATCCGCTCGAACGATATTGGCATTCTTTACATGGTTGGGAGAGATACCACCACCACCACCACATATACACCTTGGAAGATATATAATAATAAGAATTCGAAGGAATGATATCTTTATTTAGGAGTAGATATGATGATAAGTACTAATTGATCAATCAGCAAAAGGATTGAGTGAGAGAGAGAAAGAGAAGGAGGCTGAAGGGGGGATTTAGAAAGGAAGAAATCATTATTGTGGGGGAAGAGAGCATGAGCTCAGCCAGCACCCATGGGGTGACTCTGGAGTTTGTTCACGATAGCAACTGGACGAGGAGAGAGAGAGAGAGAGAGAGAGTTAGGGGAGAAGAACAGGAAGAGGAAGAAGAAGAAGACGACAAATAATGGTGGCGGGAAGGTGATAGTGGTAGTAGTAGCAGTGGTGGCTGAATTCGTCATCCCAATCAGTCACTCCATCCAAAAGCAAAGCAATTTGAGGGCAAGAAAGAAAAGGAAGAGGAAGGGTCATATCCACTATGGACTAAACCCACACGCCCAGACACACCCAAAGGTGAAAACACGATCCCCATTTGCATCTACTTCCTGCTGCTGCTGCTGCTTGCCTTTTTCTCCCTTTCTCCCAGCGAATGGCAAATGTACAAGGTGCCAGGCAATCAGTAGGCCTGAGAGAGACAAACACGTACGTTTCTTTTGCCAAATTGAGTGTTGGGTTGGGTCTGTTTTGGAGAGACTACAGGGGAGCGGAGCATCAGTACTAATTAACATACGGGGCAGGGCAGCCATCTTTCATTTCTTGTTTTTCAGCTCCACTCTCTCATTACAAATCTGCGTAAATTACTTGCTCTCTCTCGCCGTACAACTAGCTAGTAGGTAGTGTAGTTTCATTTGTTGGGTGAGTGCGTGGAGCCCATGGTGGACAACTATATTGGGGGCAGCACCACATTCCTGCTTTTCCATCGTCTTTCCTTTTTTACATCCCTTTCACCTGTGTTCTGTAACCACGTACGAGCCGTGCATACATCTCCATGTCTATATAATATATAGATGGTATGTGTGGTTAATATTCATATATGGACAACTCTCAATAAATATAGTTATTCGGATCAATTGGTTTATGATATGGAATTAGAGTTTGTTTGTATTTAAGGTCACGTGTTCAAGTTATCATCATCCTCGATATTAATTGTTGTTTTACATCACATGGTATGGTTGGACTGTACAAACTCAAGCTCATGAATTGCTTTAATTTCGTTTCAGAAGGCATAAGAAAGTGGTTAAAATCCATACACATTTCATTTGTTTGTTTTTTTCCCCAAAAATTTGTTACTTTTTCATTGTATCAAATTATTACTTTATTTGATACGAGGACCGCCACTTTAGTGTTAGTGTGGTATTTTCAAACAATAAGAGTTAGTTTAAGATCATAGTCACCAGCGTCCTATCTTTGATTGTACAACAATTTTCAACTTCAAAGTTGTACATGGTTTTTCCATTGATTTCAACTTTCGCACATCAAAATGTTTGGGCCTAATATTATCCATATCTTTCAACCTGGTGACAACTTCATATAGTAAATTCAAATTATCCAACATAATGATCAAATCGGAGGGATTTTAACATAATTCTCCATTTGATGAATGTATAACTCAATAAACTTAGAAATTACATATTCCGTTGATAGAAGACTGCAAGAAATACGACTTAGGAGTCTCGACTATGGTTCCTTACTTTTTGAATGAAATTGAGAATTGGGTTGATTGTGAGGAGAAGGAAGAAAATCGGTTCCTATGAGAAGGAAGGAGGTCGAATTCTACATTAGAGGGGAAGAGGGAGTCACCTGAGCGAAAAAGAGAGTTTATGTTTAGCGAAGTTTTCTGGTTTTAATTTCTTTATTTCAATAATCCCTCATTTACAAAATATAAATGCCAAATAATTCCCATTTTCTGCCTAACTAATACCTTCTAACCCGAATAGGCCAAATATACCTAAAACACTAAAAAAACACTCTAAATCATAAACTTAAATAAAACAACAAATATGGAGAAATTTGTCATTGCCGTCAGCAGATCGTTGTCGATCTCAATCAGCATGAAATGTATCACCAAACCCAACAGTCCTGTCCAGATACAACGAGAATTGATCATGCCAAGCGGGCAAGTTTGTGTTCCCTCTATGAATGAGGGGAAGAAGTGATTCCTACAAAAAATATAAAAACCACCAAGTTGTTAGTCAAAGGAAAGCAAAATAAAACCTTTTAAAATAATGAAATAATTAAAAAAATTATAAGATACATATTGTTTACCGGATTGTTGTGCCAAATTGCAGGGAGCGAATGTGTTTCTTGCTCGGAAAAATACTTTGTATCTCTTGGACTATAATGGACATACAATCGAGGATCATATATCTCGGCACACATCTGTAAAAAATTTGAATAAAATCAGATTGTTTCGATTACAAAAAAAATAAATCACAAAGGAAAACCAAGAACGTACCCGAAGAGTCTCTTTATGCTTAATTTTATCCCATGCTTAGCTTTATTTAATTTAGCTTTATTGTAATTTCATTCTGTGCTTAGCTTGATTTAATTTAGATTTATTCCATGCTTAGCTTTATTTAATTTAGCTTTTTATAAAATCCATTCCATGCTTAGCTTGATTTGATTTAGATGTATTCCATGCCTAAATTAAATTTATTAAGTACATTGATTAGTTGTTTAAGAAATTCTTACATTCTTAGCTTTCATGCTTTAAAAAATTCTTATATACGTATTTCTACTTACAAAATGGATGCGCAAATACAAACGACCACCAACCCGAGCACTATTTATTGTTTTATCGTGCTGGGTTTAATAAGCCTTGGTGGAAACAGGTAATCATGAAAATTCAATATTTTAACGAATGACAATTTTGTGGGTGTAATTGGTTGTTAATTGCCAATTATGAATGAGTGTAGGTTACATAGGACCCATATCCACGTGAACTGGTCGAGCTGCATCATCTTAGACACCCTGAGGATCACGAGACGTGGTTGTGCAAGATGCCCTTGATCTGCTGGCACACGTGGAGTGGCACCTGCCCGATCGATCCATGAGGCAATATCCGTTTGAGCAACCAATTCCAGCAACCCCGCCTCCAGGTTTCAGGGAGCTCCATGCCATCGACCTCCGCCAGCAAGAAAATATTTGGCTTCTCAAGCATTAGTTCTACATCAATGTTTGGGAGAATAGAGCGAATTGGGTGGTTCAAGAGATGCCAGAGACGAGACCTATGGGGTACCACGATGGGTACATACAGTGGTATCGAAAGTTTACGCTTAGAATGGTGTCAATGCAAGGTGTTGTGATGGGTTTGTTGGTAAGTCATCCCAAGTCTCCCTCTTTGTCTCATTCTTTTGTTTTAATTATGATTAATTTTGTTTTACTACTTAAATTGCTTAGGTTGATGGTTTGGAACATGCCAAGCACATGGTCGAGAGTGCACCCACCATGGATGAGCGGAAGACATCTTGGTTGCGAAGGCTTATGAATAACCTCCTGAGCTGTACTCGAGAGCAAAGGAGGAATGTCGTAGCATATCCTCCACTGCCTGCCTCGGCTTGCCCATCATTTCGTGGTGGTGAGCGCATTGTGCCCCCGATTGAGCCCCCACGGAAGAGCAAACACAAGCCTCAAGCAACCTTTCAAGAGCTTTGTCCAACTCAAGAAACATAACTCCTTGAACTATTTTAATACGAGTGGGCAACTACCCTAGAGGTCGTTGGAGGCTCATCGAGCTACGCCCCATCTCAGGAACATGACATGTTCCCCCAAGGGTTCCCTCAATTCCACCATCAGCAGCACACTCTGATGTATTATACCTTGCAGCAACAGACCCCTCATGCATCGAGTTACTACCACACTACTGGTCCATCTAGCGACAAGAAGGAGGAGGGCGAGAAGGTGAAATAAGGGGTCAAGGACGCCATGGAGGACGAGGAAGAGGGAGAGAAGGGGAACAAAATAAAGTCAACCACTGAACTTCTCATGTTATCTTTGTTTAGTTTAGTTTTGCATCTTTCCATTGAACTATCCATGTTGTCTCTATATAGTTAGGTCTGTGTTTTGGTTTTGCATGATCTCTGAACTATCAATATTGTCTTTATGTAGTTAGGTCTTGTGTTTTGGAACACAGTATCCATGATCTGTGTTCTAGTCTACTTTCCATTTTGTCTCAAGATAGATCACAATTCCATGTTCATTGCAATCATTCAACAATTTTACAAATTAAACATCATTACAACTAAACGACAATTGGGTTAACTTCACACTCAAGGTTGGTCCTGATTTATGCCCGCATCTTGCTGGAGAGCTGGTCCTGGGCAACGCCTCTTGTCATTGCCAGGGTGTCTGCACTTGGAGCAGGGCTTCGGCCCTCACCTCGGGCGTTGCGATTGATCCATCTCATTGTGAATCCTTTAAGTCCTAGGACGACCCTTGGTGTGCTTTAGGTGCAACGGTGGGATAATCTACTTCCCATTGTGTAAAGTCCAATAAGATTCATCTGTAGGGGGCTGA